TAATTGTTATCAGGACTGATTGTGAGGGTTGGAAATCTAAAGATGGACAGTTTGTAACAAAGAGGGGAGTGATTACTTAATCAGTCTAGGAGCAGAGGACCCTGGGACCATCAATGGAGAAGAGCGAAGAGCGGAATCCTACCCAGAGAGGCAGTGAGGCCTGGGATGGAGGCAGAGAAGACAGTGTCAAGATATGGACTGGGGGCTCGGGATCAGGAGATGGAAAGGGGATGAGGACTTTGGAGGGGGGGGGAAGTGCAGGTTTACAGGGTACACCCCTTGGTTGGGTGAGGATGCATCGACAGGATGATAACTATGCCAACGACATGATGGATGATGGAATGACTGTAAAGCTGATGTTTTCCCATGTAGACTATCACACAATTCACAATAAAACATTAAATAATAATAATAATAATAAGGTCCTTATGAAAAGTTTCTGAAAGAACTTCTATCCCAAGTTACTCCTTCCTGTCTTTTCTTCCCTGTTGTATGCCTTTAATCTCAAGAGACTATAAGCAAAGTTATAACCTTAGATTTTTGTTGTCTGCTGCCTCTCAGCCCTGCCTAATCTCTAAGACAGGTTGAACTAAGGAATAAGACCTGCTTCGGTCTGCTGTAGAAGACCTTTTTTAAGTGTTGAAGAGCAAAGATGTCAGCTTGAGGATTAAGGTACACCTGATCCAAGCCATGGTATTTTCAAAAACCTCATATGCATGTGAAATTTGGACAGTGAATAAGGAAGACTGTAGAAGAATTGATTCACTTGAGATATGGTGTTGGAGGAGAATATTGAAAGTACCATGGGCTACTAAGAAGTGCAGCCAGATTGCTCCTTGGTGGACACGATGGCCAGACTTTGTCTCTCATACTTTGGACATATTGTCAGTAGGGACCAGTCACTAGAGAGGAATATCATGTTTGTTAAGGTAGAGGGTCAGAGAAAAAGAGGAAAACCTCCAGCGAGATGGATTGGCAAAGTGGCAGCATTAATGGGCTCAAGCATAGCAACAATTGTGGGGTTAGCCCAGGACCAGGCAGTGTTTTGTTCTGTTGTGCATAGGGTCATTATGAATTGGTACCGACTCAATGGCACCTAACAACAACAACAGTTCTTTAGGCAGTCCCCAGACAGACTAGAACAGACACGCCTAATAATTGGGTGGTGCCATAGAATAAGCACTAAGACTGTGAACCATAAGGCTGGCGACTCAAGCCCACCAGCTGCTCTGTGTAAATAAAATGAGGCTTTATGCTCCTACAAAGATTTAAGGTTCCCACAAAGATTTAATGTCCCATAAAGAATTTATGAGTAGTCTTCAGTTGATGGGCACTTTGGCTGTCTCCACCTTTTTGCTATTGTAAATAGTGCTGCTATAAACATCGGTGTGCATACGTCTTCTGCTGCTATAAACATTGGTGTGTGTATATCTTTTTCTTGTGGGTAAATACCGAGTAAAGGGATTGCTAGATCATAGGGTATTTCTATTTTCAAC